AATGGCTGCTCAAATCACTTCATGTTGCGGATACTACTACTGACGAGTATCTGGCCTAGCACCAGGGCTGTGAATAAACTAGCATCAAATAAGAAGCCAAGGAAGTTACCAAATGCAAAGAATGCACCGTTGCTAATGAGAGACTCAAAAGCACCATCAGCGTAAATCAAGAATAATTTAAAACACAGGTTTCTAGATTTCCCTCTGGCCATTTTCTATCTCCCTCAGAAGACAGTACAAATAAAGAGGGGTCACCACATGCTGGGATCTGAGGTCCCCAAAATAAATACTGCCAAAATCCTATCTACTACACATGCCCTCAGGCTCAGAGCAAATTGTTTAGTGGATCGCAGTGGACATAAATAATGGGAAACCCTTGATGATATAATGCTGATTTAAAACTAAACTATGCTTCTATGCTAGGTCAAAACTAAGGCAGACAAGATACTGCTTAAAATTCTAACCACGTGAGGTTTTTGTTCTTAGTACAGAAAGGAAAACAGTCCTGTTTTCCTAGAGTTTTAGTCCATACCCAACTTCCCTATCCCCAAAAATACCTTTCTCTAATTATAAGGCACCTAACAAAATGCTGACTCTGAACATCACAGAAGTTAATTTTTTTAAGCCAGACAACTCAGTAAAAAATAACTTCTACTGACCCCTTTCGTCAGTGTCTGGTTTCCCTAATATTAACCATGCTGATGAAAACTTGAATTTTTAGATTATCTAAACACAATCCTAGTTTATCCACATTCTTGGGAATGGCTGCTATAATAAGTTCTAACATTTAATTTTGTTGCTCTTTGGACAACAATCAGAACTAATTTACTAATACATGGACTTGTATTCCAGGCATAGGAAAAAGTTATTTTGTACATGAACTGGCAGTACAAAAATGAGCATTCAAGTCTCCAATCATTTTCTTTTAATCTTAGAGACCCATTTAAGAAAAAAATGCTATTTTCCAATACCTAATTTTAAATTATTTTATAAAGAAAAAAACTAACTCCATACTCTAGTTATTTTGTACAGTACTTTTTGTCCTACAGCCTACTTTTCTTCTCCACATTTCAGAGCCGGAAAGAAACTTAGAAATCATCTGGTTCCCTAGATTTGAGTTCCTTGAGCAGAAATTTCTTTTATCTTTGTACCCATCTCCACCTGGGCACCTGAGTGCTCAGTAAATGGGTTTTTAATTTAACCAGGTATAACTGCCCCCACATACAAATTAAGTTCTTCGAATATATTTCTACTTTTTTTTTTTTTTTTTTTTTTTTGTGGTACGCGGGCCTCTCACTGTTGTGGCCTCTCCTGCTGCGGAGCACAGGCTCCGGACGCGCAGGCCCAGTGGCCATGGCTCACGGGCCCAGCCACTCCGCGGCATGTGGGATCTTCCCGGACCGGCCTGCATCGGTAGGCAGACTCCCAACCACTGCGCCACCAGGGAAGCCCCAATTTCTACTTTTGATTAATCTTAACTAGAAAATACTCATTCAGATAGTTTTTAAATTAAAGTCAAATTAGTAACTTAGGACTTACACCATCTATTGGCTATTTTAAGTGACAGAATCTGAGCAAAGAGGTATGAGGTATCTATCTGGAATAAAGACATAAAAGAGAATAGAAACAAAACTTAAAACAAACACCGTAACATAGAAAACAGACTTGTGGTTGCCAGGGCAAGGTGGGAGGAGGGGATGGAGTGAGATTGGGGTTATCAGATGCCCACTAGTATTATGTGGAATGGATGGACAATGGGGTCCTGCTGTATAGCACAGGGAACTACATTCAATAACCTGTGATAAGCCACAGTGGAAAAGAACGTAAAAAAGAATGTATATATATGTACAGCTGAATCACTTTGCTGTACAGCAGACATTAACACAACATTGTAAATCAACTATACTTCAATAAAAAACACTCACTGTAAATTAACGCCACAAATTTTAAATAAGACAACCACCAAACCCGAGTCATACTGGTCACTTCACAGTATTTTTAAATCACAGTTACTATTATTGGCTTCTACTAATATGTTATGATAAATATGTACAATATATATAATACACATTTTCTCTCCTAGCAGTTTAGGAATATAAGAGAGTAAAACAAGCAAGATAATTTTAGTTTCACCCTGCTCCTTCCTTTCATCACAAGGGCCGGTAGGCTATGTGTGAAAACTGACTGAACATCAGTCCCACTTCTGCTAAGAGAAGGTGTCCACACAGAAGCAGAAAACATATACTTCCCTAAGTTCAATCATTAGTTCTGAAAGAGTAAGGTAAGTTAGTTTCAATTAAAGATAAAGGCTCGGACTTCCCTGATGGTTCAATGGGTAAGACTCTGAGCTTCCAATGCAGGGGACCCAGGTTCGATCCCTGGTCAAGGAACTAGATCCCACATGCATGCTGCAACTAAGAGTTCACATGCTACAACTAAGAAGTCTGCACGCCGCAACTAAGACCCAGAGCAGCCTAAATAAATAAAGATAAAGGCTAAAACAGGATTGAGAAAAGTTTCATGACACCAATCAAATTTAAACTTAAGACTGGAATTTGACAACTAAAAGAAAAATAACTATCAAATTACTTTAGTCTGGCTGTCAAGAATCAACCCATAATAAAGAAATAATACCAACAAAACTTCTACTCAGTGAACTTAAGGATACAGAAAAATCTTTCAACTAATGTCTACCTCATCCTTCATATTCCCCTTAAAGAAAAAAATTAATAACCCACTAGCAGACTAAAGTACTTTTATAATCCTGGCTCTACCTTCCTCTACCCCACAGAGTTTACATCTATCCCTCTGTAAACTCAAGGCACTGGCCACACCATCCAAGATCACTGATACTCACAACTTTGCTTAGGCTGTTCCCTAGCCTGGAATGCCCACGTGTAAATCCATCTCAAACTCCAGGTTTAAATGTGTAAGTTCCTTCAACCAAGATATGCTTCAGGAGGTGAATAAATAAATAAACAGTGGTAGATCCGGACAATGGAATATTATTCGACCCTATAAAGAAATGATCTACCAGGCCATGAAAAAACACAGAAGCAGCTTAGATATGCATTACTAAGTGAAAGAAGCCAATCTGAAAAGGCTACATACTGTATGATTCCAACTATATGACGTCACAGAAAAGGCAAAACAGTGGCAACAATGAAAAGATCAGTGGTTGCCAGGGGCTGTTGGGGGTAGGGTGGGGTGGAGGAGCGAAGGACAGGCAGAGCATTTTTAGGGCAGTGAAAATACTCTGTATGATGCCATAATGATGGATACATGTCATTACACATTTATCCAAACCTACAGAATGTCCAACACAAAGCATAAACAGTAATGTAAACTTAAAATTTTAAAAAAAGTGTAAGCTTCTTTAGCATCAAGACCTGACAGTCATATTCACCACTAGAGCACCAGTAACTAGAGCACTACTGGCACACAGTAAGCAATCAATAAATTAGTGCTGTGAGAATAAAGAAGTTCCACCTGAATGTTTTGTTGTTTCCTCAATAGCTCTTCCCCTCTTCTATAGTCTCATAGCTTTTTACCCAGTTATCAATACATCTATTTCATTTTTAATTCTCAATTACACAAGAAACTTTATTTGGCCCTAAACTCTTTTCTAAAATAATACAGAATACCGAAATCAGTGTGGTTCAAAAGAAAACACATTAATAGTACAACATTTTCCACCTTTTACAGATTTTCTTAAGTATTGTCAATTCAGTAGACAAGAATATACACTGTTTTCATGTTGCTAGTTACCTGGAGGAAAATTAAGATGATTTACCGAAGTTATAAACATACGGTCTCGGTCTCTACTGTGTGTGTGTGACACACACACACACACACACACCAGTTCCAAGCTTTAAAAAGAAAAAACAAAAACATTCTAATCGCCCATATATCAGCTTTATTCATGCACACATTAAAATAAAACCATAAAAAAAAAAAACCATAAGACTGAAGATCCCGGCAAAACAATCCCTTGAATGAGTAACTACACCACCTCCCAGAAATTACTAGTCATACACTAAGGACACTTAAGGTACCAATGTCATATATGAAACAGAAATCTTTGAAGGACAAACATTGAGCACTCAGTCCTCTCAGAACTGCATTAAATTAGAATCTAAAGCTAAACCTATCTTTAATCATGAAGACTATAAAACAAAAAGCATTTATGACACTTTCATAAATGCAATTAAGAGTAATATAAACTGAATTAGTGAGTAATGTAACAACTACACTGTGAACTTAATATGAAGCTAACAGTAGGGAAAGTTTCCAGTTTAGTCCATCTCATTTTTCACAAAATGATTCAGAAAAAAAAATTTTCCATTAGAAAATCATATTTAGCTGATACCTCAAGTATAATTACCTTGAAGTTTCTCCCTTCCTTTCATATTTTATCACCTATTTGGAAACTTTGTTAACATTATGAAAAAGATATGGTTTGAAGTTTTAAGATTACTGAAAAGCACTCTGAAAGAATCTGATTTAGAAATATCTAAAAATATTTTTATTTCTCATTTCATGGAACTGCATGAAATTTCATTAAGGTTCTTCATAAAGTAGCATACAGGTCATCACAGTAAATACCATCTTAGTTTCCTGATTTCAAATTTAATTCATAATTTTATTTATTCAGCACCTACTATGCATAAAGCACTCAATTAGGCATTTTATTAGCCAGATTATTTGGCCAAAATATTACACTTCCTACTAAAAAAGATCAGCATTGTGACTCCTCAGGACATCAGGTAATAATTGTAGGCCTCTAAAAATGCTTGTTAAATCAAAAGGCAATGCTCTTACTTAAGGAATCTTGATTGCTAGAATCAGCAACACCGCATTATAAAGTTAATAGCCTCCATCCTTAAACTATCCCAGGAGAAGAAAAGGAGTAATTCAAACTGTTAACTTGTGCCCAACGACACTACACAATAACAGCCTAAGCAAAACTGCCAGATGTATTTGTAATTAAAAGGTCCAACCTTGACAAAAGCATCATCATCAGTGGGTTTTTCATCCTACTGGGTGGAAGGGTTCAGAAAGCAGAAGCTCAGGCGAGAAACGAAAAGCACATCCAGCACAAACTGTTCAAGCGGTTCAATCTGGAACAAGTACAGACGTTCATTCCTTCAACCTGTGAGCATCTATTCTGTGACAGCGAAGAGGACGATTTAAAAGGGAGAATGAATGACGTGAAGTTCTGTTGGGGGTTGCTGCCCCAACAATACACTGAGATCGGTGCTACAATTAATAAAGTACAAAGTACGAAGTACTACTGCGGAAAAGAGGAAAATTCTCTCTGAAAAGAGTCAGAGAAGACGATGATCTTTAAGCTGAGGCTCGTCAGTTTACATCCTCGCCAGGTTTCTAAATAAAGTTGACAAACCGGCCAGAAGAGATCAATTTTGGAGACTGACACATCCCTCCCATTGACCGGAGGCCGAAGGTAGTGGAAGCACTGCCGAAACGCAGGCGGCGCCACGCCGGAGAAAGCCTTCCTCCCTCCTCCTAGGCCTCGGCAGCCGCGGTGCTGGGGCGGCCGCCCGGGCTCTCGAGAGTCGGGGCAGGTGTCGGCGCCAGATCCCGGCTCGCGGGGCCAGCACAGCTGGCAAAGCCGCCGCCGCCGCCGCCGCTCCCCCAGCGACCTGGGGCCCCAGAAAGTTGCGTGAAGACAACTCCAGTGCGGCGAAGCCGCTCCCCCGCGCGGCCCACGGGCTGCGGCACCTCCAGCCTCCTCTCCGCCGCCTGGTAAAGGAACCCGCCGGGCCAGGGAAGAGGAGGGGGGCTCGGCCCGCCAACTCGGCCGGGCCCGGAGGGCGCGAGGGTTACCAGCGAGCGAGCAAGCCAAGGGTCGGGCTGTTCCGCCCCTCTCGCTGGCCCCCACCCGGGCCGCGCCTCCCGCCACGCCCGGGCTCAAACACCCGGCGTCCGACAGCCCTGCCCGTCACGACCCGGACGCCCAGACGCCGCAGAGCCTCGCCCGCGGCCCGCGGCCCGCACCCCTCCGACTCAACCCGACCCTTCCCGGGAAACAGCCCGGGTCCCGCGGCTCGACCGGTAGCCGGCCGCGGCCCTGCGCCCCTTCCTACCTCACCTGCGCTCCGCGGCGGCCCCGCACCTCCTCGCTCGCTCCGCGCGCCCCGTCGGGGCACACACCGACCCCCCCGGGCCAGGTCTCTCCGGGCCGCGGCGACTCTGAACGTCACGGCCACCGCCGCCTTCTCTTCCTCGGCACAAGCCCCGGCGGCAAGCAGGGGGTCGCGGTCAGAGCCCCACCGGGGCCAAAGCGAATCTCGCCGCCTCCGCAGCCTCCACCGCCAAGTCCCTTCACTCGTCCGAGCCGCCCGGAGAAAATGTCACCAGAGGCCGTTCCGCTCGGCGCCTCACTTCCGCCCGGAACCACAGAGCCTGAGCCGGTCGGCTAGAGGGGCCGCTGCGGCTGGGACCACTAGGGACTCGAACGGGAGGCCCAGGGAAAGCCAGACAGCGCCATCTGGCTGGGCTGACCCGCGCTCCTACAGCTGCAGAGCGCCCGGCGTGGGAGCACAGGCTTCCTGGGCTTCTTTCCCGCTCTCCCTTCATCTGCTCAGGCAGCTCCCTTCCAGAAATTTCCCAAAGGGCCGGAAAGCCAGTCAATACAAGCCACGGACAATGCCCTAAGAAAAGGACGTCGCTCCATTTTCCGTTCGCTGCTCAGTACTCACCCCTCCTGAAGCCTTCCCGAATGAAACTTGTGGTGTCACTCCAGGAGGGAGTGCGCTCCGTTCTCTCCCCACCTTTTCGCGGATGCCGACAGCTCGGCTCGGCGAGATTTGGCTGTGCTCCTCTCATGCAGTGGCATCAACATCCCGTTCAAGTTTCTGGATGAACCTTGCACGCCTCGCAGACAGATCGCCACCTGCTGGTGAGTCAGGGTCCCGCAGGGAGACCCCGCTCCGCCCCTACGCGCGATGCAGACGCCCCAAATTCCACCTCTGCAGTCACTCCTGATTTGCACCAGCGAGCCCTGAGTTTTCGACGCCCTTCGTTGAGGTCTGAGATCGTGAAGGAAACGTGCTGGACGCTTACCCGGAAGAAAGGTAAGGTGGGCTTAAGGAGAAAGAACAAACCTCACAACTCAAGATCTGGACAAGGCTTTGCGCTCGCTAAAAGCAGGGTTTTGAGAAATAAATGAATACATAAGGGCTTGAAGAGAAAATGTAAAAGGCATTTACCTTTTCAGGAGCCATGCTGGGACCTGGGGTGACACTCCCCTAGAGGAGATTCTGAAAATCACAGCGCCGGCTCCACGCTCCCCTTAACATCAGTCTCCCGTTTAGATCCGGCCCCCCAGCTCCCCCATTTCTCTCATTTATGCTAACTGCCCACAAGCATGGGAATTTTCCATCCCTAAATGAGTAAATTGATAAAATAGTTTTACAATTAATAGCTAACTTCTCTGAATGCCTATTATGTGCAAGGCACTATACTATGCATCTAAGTGGATTCATTCATTTAATCCTCACAAGTCTATGGGTTTGGTGGTATTCCTGGCCCCAGATGACAAAAGTGGAACCAGACAGAGTGATAAAGTGACCTGCCCAAGGTCACACATCAGTAAGTGTCAGGAGCCTGCATTCTCAACCACCACTACCCACTGCCTCCTTGAAATTCACTGAGAACATACTGTGTGCCAGATAAACATTTTGTCTCTGTATGTTATTTCACTCATTTATTTATTTATTTATTTCCCTGCTTCCTTAGTCCTCAAGGAATTTGAGAATTTGTGGGGTAATGACAAGAGCCCAGTCTCTTTCAGGAGAAAAAGAGAAAAGAAAAGAACTAACTATTAAAATCACAGCTGTCAGTCTGGAAATGAATGAATGAATATGGACAAATACATTCAGTTTTAAAATGGCCCCTCGATGGTCTTATCTCATCAGTGCTGTAGAGATGCTGAGGTAGGCCCCTGACTACTGAAGTACCATCTTGGCTCCTTCTGTTTGATACCAACAAGTCAAGTCCCTACAGTGAATGGACTGCTTTTTTTCAGAGTCTGGGATGTTTGATATACTAATTACTAACATCCCTATTACTGCCATATTTAGATTGCTAAATAGGGCACTTGCTTTCTTCTTCCCCTTCTGTAGGAGCAGGAAGGGCTGGGCAGTTGATCCTACTTCTGCCTTGGAATTGTCTCCTAGAATCTCCTTTGCACTACATACTCAGCTCTCCCAGCCCCTGAAATCCCATCCCCATAAAACCAGCCCAGTCCAAATCACACCATCACCCACCCTCCATCCTGTTGCCTCTATGGAAATTTCTCTCAAGATTCCTCTGCTCACAGACACTGTCCTACCAACATGTCCACCCCTTGGCCTATCTGTAGTATTACTACTGGGTCATATCAGTGGTTCTATGCTCAATTTCTTTTATAAACCCTGGAGGCCAAGGCCAAGCCCATCTGAATCACCCTTCAGCTTCATTGCTTGCACCTGATGCACCACTGGGACTGGGGCTGGGCTTGCAGCAGGTGCCTGTTAGAAACCGTGGCCTAAGCAGTAGCATCACAATGTGGCTGGCCTTGCTTTGACTATAGTCTGTTCTCTCTGACTGAGCAGGCAGCTTCCAAAATTTGCCCCTGTAAGGTGGATGCTGTTTTTAGAACCACTCGTTAGATAAGGAAAACGGGAGATCCAAGGGATGGAACCCTCACCTCAGCTCTAGGCTACCCCTCCCTCAGTGTAACCACCATTACCTCCCCCCTCCCACCCACAAAACCAGCATCCACTACAATCCCCCAGCACCTGCTATAAGACAGTTGAACAGTTGAATGGGGAGGAGAGGTGATGTTGAACCTCTTGACCCCGGTGGCCACATAATTGCAGACAAGTCACCATGTCCAGAGTTAGCATCACCTGTTCTGCCCCACGGCATTATTCCGCAGAATTAAATTATGCCCTCCATATGGAAGGCCATCCGGAAGCAGCCTGAGAATTCCAAGTAGTGGAAGGTGACATGGTCTCCTGGACCGAGAGCTCTGGAGCCTGACAGATTTGGATTTGGACCGGGTTCTGCCTCCCTCAGCAGAGTGACCTCTGGGCACTTCTGCAACCTCGCTGTGCCTCAGCGTCCTCACCTGTCAAACACGGCGAAACCTGATACTACTTTGCAGGTTCTTGCGAGGGGTGAGGGCGAAATGAGCTTGTGTAAAGCTCTCAGCAGAACTCTTGGCTCAGAGAGAACACTCTCAACAAGGCCGTTGTTCTGATGGCAACACTCCAGGCCAGCACCTCCTACAAGCACAGACTCACACTGGTCAAGTACGGTGTCTAGGGACTCATATTTCCAGAGCAACAAGTTCACGCGGAACCAGAATGAAAGAGGGCAGAGGGATGCCGTGAAGGTGGAGTCACGCGGTGGCCAGGGGTGTCTGGGAGCGGCACCACCCGCAGCCCCCATACAGTTCTCTGGGGTGGATGGTGGAGGTGCCTCTGTCTTGGGCTCCAAGTTCCTCTTTCCAATCAGGTGACACCCCTTCTATATGGAAAGTCTGTAAGTCTATTAAAAAATGGAAATAAATGCAAAGGACAGTATTAAATTTTTCAACAAGTATGTATTGGCCTCTTTTTTAATAAAAGAATAGCTTTGTGGGACCTCTGGGGTGGGAGGGGTGAGGAGTTCCTCTGACACCCCATCTAAACTAGCACCCACCACCCGTCACCACACCTGCTTGTTCCCCTCATAACATTTACCCTCCTTTGCACCTGCCATGCATATTCTTTCTCATCCATCTGACACACCAAAGAGTAGCAAGGGAGCCGGGTCATGTTGTCCTGCTCTGTAGTGGACACACTCAGCACAGGTGTGGATGGAGGAAATCCATCTAAGCATCTAGCTGGGGAGACACAGGAAACTGAAAAGATGTCAAAACAAGGAAGTGGCACCAGATGCCAAGTGGGTGAGAGGCTGTGAGGAGGGTAGGAGGCCTGACAGACAGTTGTTGAAAAGGAAGAAGAGTCAGTGCCTCAAGGGCAAAGCTTAGGCAGTCCTCCCTCACAGCTCCCTTGGTGTCCAGCACAGGGAATGGCAGACAGAGCAAGGAAATAAATGTCTGTGACTGAAGGACAGCTGTGCAGAGAAGCTGACATTTGGGGGAGGAGAAATAGAATCTTTCCTGTAAACAAAGGATGTCACAGTCATCAGCAATTACAGCCACTGCCAGCTGATGAGCTGGTGAGTCCTGAGGGAACTCAGGAAGGAAAAGAATACCTGCCATCTAGCAGCCATCAGACTGCAGCCACTCCCTATGTTGTGCATTTTTTTTAAGTCAACAGGGAAAAGGAACAAGAGGTGGAAAAGCCCCTGGGATGTTTGAAGGACAACAATCCAAGGGCCCGGCTGCCTGTGACTGGACAGCGAGGGATGAAGCGGGAGACGGCTAGCAGGCATGTCTGGGGCTTAATGTGAGTGGAAGGAGTCTGGGCTTCATTTTTAAGCACTAATGGGGCAAGCAGGGTCCGAAGTTCTCAGCAGACTTCTAGGGAATGTTCCGGTCAAAGCCAGCAGAAAACATATTGTCGTGGCCCACTAACAACTTGGAGAGGAAGGAGAGCACTGACCCCAGGCTGACCACCGCAGGGGACGTGTGGACCTC